TGATTTCTGCATTTGCAGTTATCAATACATATCAGGTGAACGCTGCCATCTTTTGGTTGTAGCAGTAATCCACAGTGCCATCTATTTAATAATGTAAATGTCAATTACAATTGCCTTGTTGAAAAATTATACTGGATTAATAGAAAAAAAAATTTTTTTAAAAGAACAGCCACACAGTACACAAGGAAGCCTGAGCTGGGCAATCACGTAACTGCACTATAGAAGAGAAAAAAAAAGGAATTTATGCTGAGATTTTTCACCAACAATATGCAGCATAAGCATGGTGGGGTAACGTTTTTAAAGTGTTACTAAACCCTGGACCCCGCATTCACTATATCCGCTCTCCCTGGACCCCGCATTCACTATATCCGCTCTCACTATATCCGGTCTCCCCGGACCCCGCACTCACTATATCCGCTGTCCCCGGACCCCGCATTCACTATATCCGCTGTCCCCGGACCCCGCATTCACTATATCCGCTGTCCCCGGACCCCACATTCACTATATCCGCTGTCCCCGGACCCCGCATTCACTATATCCGCTCTCTCCGGACCCTGCATTCACTGTATCCGGTCTCCCACAGTACACAGGACATGGAAATACAATGATTTTAGTAAATATAAACTGCTAAATAGCTTTTCTCATCAGCAGTATATAGCAGTCTTGTGACTTCTATCAGTGCCCAGCAGAGCACTGGTTAAAGCTTGTAGGAGGAGTTTTTTATGCTCTAGGAGGATGCATAACCCCTGACCCTCTGTCTGGAGAGTGCTGACTGGCTCTGTGCTGATCACATGCACTCTCCAAAAAAAAAAAACCAAAACACCTCTCTAGCAATACACACCTAACTGAGCATGTGCAGAGCGTCTCCACACGATGTCTTATCAGGAGATAAGAGGGAGACACTGGAAGAAGGGGAGGATGAGAAAAGTCAGGATCAAACAGCGGTTTTACACAATGCAGAGAATTAACCCCTTAGGTTCCACAGTGAGTATAACAAGCTCGCTTTACTGCATCTACAGACTGATTTTACTGTTGTGGGTTTAGTAACACTTTAAAGGCAAATATGTCTTTATTGATTTTACAAAATAACAGTAAACAATAATGCCATATCAAGACAAGAAAACGGCAGTAAAGATGAGGCCCAATTACAGTTCACCAATCACATTATTAAGATCCGGCATGGTAAAATACATGGAAGGAGAGACCAGAACAAAAAGAATATAAAAGAGAATGATCGCCTAGTGTTTGAAAGGGAGGAAAAGACAGAGAAAAGAGGTCAGAACATGAGCGATTCTCAAGGACCGAAATAATTATAAAACAAGGCTACCAATCGGGGTGGTGCCTAAGCCATCTGCTGGGGTCATCATACTAGGAGGGCTGAGATGATACGGCCACAAGGCCATTGTCTGAGGATAGGAGCTCCTAGAGGCATTGTTTTTAAACCCTGATCATTGTTATTTTAAAATTTCTGGTCTAAGGACATTTCTAAGTGGTACTATTTCAATATGTTAAAAAAATATATAAATGAGTAATAATATATATTTGACCCTCATGTATGAGTAGGCGTTCTTATAATTTACTATTTAAGAATCTGTTTAATCTCCGTTGGATAGATCACATGACTTCCTCTTTGACAATGAATGAAGAACGGAGTCACATGACTGAGAGGATATTAAACCTCACCCTGGAGATCATCTGTCTGCTGACTGGAGAGGTGAGGAGAATTCTGGGAGGTCACATGACATCACTCTTATCTCTATTAATAAAACACAGAACTGACCGGAGAGGCGAGGAGAATTCTGGGAGGTCACATGACATCACTCTTATCTCTATTAGTAAAACACAGAACTGACCGGAGAGGTGAGGAGGATTCTGGGATTGTAAGTAGTTATAATTGTTACTGTCTCTTCTTACTCAGGATTATAAAGTTGTGAGGAAGACGTCTGGTGAGGCATTAACACCCATAATCCTTCCCCATGGACCTTCCTCCATCCCGAAGCCTCCATTTCACCCCCCGACAACTAAAAGATTTAACAAGAGGATCCTAGAAGTGATCCAGAAGATCATCGATCTGCTGACAGGAGAGGTGAGTGGTGCCGGGAATTCTGGGACATTCTCCAGTAACAGACAAGGGATGTGTCTGGATGGTGACTATCATTGTGTGTGTCAGGTTCCTATAAGGTGTCAGGATGTCACTGTCTATTTCTCCATGGAGGAGTGGGAGTATTTAGAAGGACACAAGGATCTCTACAAGGACTTCATGATGGACAATCAGCCGCCCCTCACATCACCGGGTAAGAGGAGACTTTATTGTAAAGGAGAGAGCAGTACGGAGGGTCCACCTAGATCCCCCATCATCTGATAAACACATAGAAACAATGGATTCAGTCAGTGTGTGTGTTTCCTACAGATGGATCCAGTAATGAGAACCCACCAGAGAGATGTCCCCGTCCTCTGTATTCCTGGGATTTCACACAGGAAGGTCACACCATCCCTCACCATCATCAGGTAGATGGATCCAGTCAAGGGAACCCACCAGAGAGATGTCCCCGTCCTCTGTATTCCTGGGATTCCACACAGGAAGGTCACACCATCCCTCACCATCATCAGGCAGATGGATCCAGTAATGGGAACCCTCCAGAGAGATGTCCCCATCCTCTGGATTCCTGGGATTCCACACAAGAAGGTCACACCATCCCTCACCATCATCAGGTAGATGGATCCAGTAATGGGAACCCACCAGAGAGATGTCCCCATCCTCTGTATTCCTGGGATTCCACACAGGAAGGTCACACCATCCCTCACCATCATCAGGTAGGTTGAATTGAAGAGCTAGACCTTAGTAATTATTCTAAACTTTGAATATATTTTTCTACTGTAGCACTACCCCCTTAGGAGTCGCTAGAGATTTGAGTCCCCCTATAGTCTTTCACAGCCAGGCAACACACGCTTCCACATTAACTTGCATCCAGGAGACAGTAACCAGTCTTTGAGCTTTGTTTTGTGATTTTTATTAGGGGATTAGACCTGGGATAGGGTTAGGGGTGTATGGGATGCCCATTGGAACTGTGAAACTGAGGACAACTTCCTTGAACTATATACAAATTTTCTTGCTGCAGAAAATTCTCTTGGAGAGCTAGTCAGTGTCTTCGGTTGTACCACCCCAGACCCTATATGCTCCTAATCCAGTAGATCTGGGTGAGTCCCTGAGCAGGGGATCCAGTTCCTGTCACTTTAAAGTAAGACAGTCCCAGGCAGTTGCTAATCTGATTTCCCACCAGAGTGCTCCTTCCCCTTTCCGGCTCGGGAGATGCAGGTTTACTCACCTAGTCCTTCTCCTGTGTTGTTACCAGGCCTTCTAGCTGAGACGCTCCTTCCCTGCCACACAGGTGTTCCTCTCTCTGGGGACCAGTGAAGTCCCAAGCTTTCCTTCTTCCAAGCTTCTCTTGCCTGGAGGTGAGCCCCTCTCCGATCTGGGCTCCCTCCCAGGCTCCTGCTCTCTAGCCTCTCATCCTCATCTTCCACCCAACATCTCCTCCAACTCTACTCCTGCTGAGCAGCCTTGCTTACTCTTAAAGGCTATCCTGGCCCCTTGCCAAGCCTCCTGTTGGATATTGGCCAAACCACTCCTCAGCTGGTCTGCAGACCCTCTCAGCTCTGACCTAAATTTGAACCATGTGACTATCACACCCAGGCTGCTACCCAGCGTCTAACAATTAGAGCTATAGCTCCCCCTAGATACCTAGGAGGGTGCTACACTACATAGGCTCAGTTTTTTTTTTTTTCAATAAATACTTTTTTTTTTTTCTTTCTATATTTCAAGTAGAAAGTACAAATACAATCAGATTTTTAAAGATGCTGTTTTCTATTGTTCTGTTGTTTTAGGACAAAGAGCTGATAAATAGGACATTTAAAATTAAAGTGGAAGAAGAAATGGCGATGCGATCCAAACAAGAGGAAACTTTACTAGATGTCAGGACAGGTAAAAAGTAAACATTAATACAAGAACATTTTACATGTTTCATTTTATCTCTGTGAGTTTAAAGCTAGGCAGAACAAATGAAACAGATTTTTAACAAATCATCAACCTCTGCTGAGATCAGAACAGACTGCCTAGAAGAAATCCAATCTACAATATGTGTACCATACCTTTTGAACTGTGTTTGTATTTTATATCGTAAAACTTACCTTTCTAGATCTCACCAATTCTGCACAGTGTGATATCTTGTGACCGAGAAAATCCATATAGAAGAATTATCCAATGCTGTCTATAAGAATATCATCTACGTAACTACTCCACCTAATGTGCCCAACAAATGTGGTGGTGATATTGTACGCTGTATGTCACAATCAGTCCTTAGTACTCCCCATATTAATGTATTACTTTTTATATAATGCAAGTCCCAATAATCCCAAGAAATGCAGTGGAGCTACTGGACACCATATGACAGGTCCATCTCCATCCCTCCATATAACGTCATGTTCCCAGCAAATGAGGAGGAGATACTGTACACCATATGAAAGGTCCATCTCCATTCCTCAATATAACGTCATGTTCCCAACAAATGAGGAGGAGATACTGTACACCATATGAAAGGTCCATCTCCATTCCTCAATATAACGTCATGTTCCCAAGAGGAGGAGATACTGTACACCATCTGGAAGGTCCATCTCCATTCCTCAATATAATGTCATGTTCCCAACAAATGAGGAGGAGATACTGGACACCATATGGAAGGTCCATCTCCATTCCTCAATATAACGCCATGTTCCCAACAAATGAGGAGGAGATACTGTATGCAGAATCGATGTGTAATAAACAGACATACATGCCTCCTGACTGCAGAGAAAATTAATTATTCTTTTGCTAGAATGAAAAAAACAGCATTTCAACAGTTGAATACATTATCACTTTAACTCTAAAGTATAATTTCCTTTACCCCATACACGCATAGAAACGGATTCAGTGTGTGTGTTTCCAACAGATGGATCCAGTCATGGGAACCCACCAGAGAGATGTCCCCGTCTTCTGTATTCCCGGGATTCCACACAGGAAGGTCACACCATCCCCCACCATCATCAGGTAGGTGGAGTAAAGAATCTGGACCTTAGAAGTAATCAAAACTCTAATTGAACATGTATTCTTCTAGGTAGTCTCCATATATTATTGTCTACATTTTAGTCAAGTTTTGTATCATTCTGTTGGTTTAGGGTGAAGAAATTATTGATATGAAAATTGAGATCAAAGAGGAAGAAGAGATGTGTGTGAGGGATGATCAGCTCTCTACAGGGAAGGCTGGAATGATGCCATCCATTAAAGAGGAGTCTTCTTTAAATATCAGAACAAGTATATATATAATTTGTTTTTCATATACCTTTTTTTAGCAGTTGGCGTGTATAATTTTAGACACATTAATTCAGAACTATTGCCTCAGATTAAAAAGATTTGTGCTGTAGCACGTCAATATACGCGCATCTGCACTTGCCATTTTCCCTTAGTATCACTGCAAAACCTTAAAAAATACCTGTTGATTCTGTCAGTGAAGTCCACCTCATGCAGCATTCTATGATAAGGGGACAACCCTGCTGCACTGCTACAGAATGGAAAGCAGCATGTCCTTCATGTACCTGCTTGCACAATTGTGGGATGAAAATATGTTGAAAGGGCCATGGCTATTAGGCTTATGAATCTGCCCTGCACACTGCCTTCTGGACTGGCTGGATTGAACTGTGCTTTTAAAACTATACCATGGAAAATTGTAAGGTCCACCTCCGCTCCCAACAAATAAGGAGGAGATACTGAACACCATATGAAAGGTCCATCTCCATTCCTCAATATAACGTCATGTTCCCAACAAATGAGGAGGAGATACTGAACACCATATGAAAGGTCCATCTCCATTCCTCAATATAACGTCATGTTCCCAACAAATGAGGAGGAGATACTGGACACCATATGAAAGGTCCATCTCCATTTCCCATCATAATGTTATGTTATTAGTGTACATACACCATGACTGTGTGCAATGATTGGTTTTGTTGTATTGAACTATTTATCTGATATGCAATATTCAAATGCTATAGTCAATATAATGTCATGTTCTCAACAAATGAGGTGGAGATACTGTACACCAGAGGTAGGTAAACTTGAAGAAATGGAGATCGTCTTGAACAACTAACAAGGCCCCTTTAAAATGTAAGGACGGTTTGAAGAAAACTTAAAATATAATAATATAAATGCCAAGAAATGTAAAAAAAAATTAAGCTTAACCTACCTTTTTAACTTCAGCAAGAAACTTGACATTTAGTTTTACTCACGGTTTTGCTAGGCTTAGATCTGGGCTGATTGGCTGGCCTGAGTCTTGACCAGGTTGACTGCCTGTGCTGACCTGGCTGTCTGAGCTCTGTTTTGGCTTTGCTGGGTTGAATTCTGGGCTGGCTGGCTGAGTTGGGTTCTGGCCTGGCTGGCTGGGTTGGGTTCTGGCCTGGCCTGGCCTGGCTGGGTTGGGTTCTGGCCTGGCCTGGCCTGGCCTGGCTGGGTTGGGTTCTGGCCTGGCTGGGTTGGGTTCTGGCCTGGCCTGGCTGGGTTCTGGCCTGGCCCTGGGTTGGGTTGGGTTCTGGCCTGGCCTGGCTGGGTTGGGTTCTGGCCTGGCCTGGCTGGGTTGGGTTCTGGCCTGGCCTGGCTGGGTTGGGTTCTGGCCTGGCCTGGCTGGGTTAGGTTCTGGCCTGGCCTGGCTGGGTTGGGTTCTGGCCTGGCTGGGTTGGGGCCTGGCCTGGCTGTCTGAGCTCTGTTTTGGCTTTGCTGGGTTGAGTTCTGGGCTGGCTGGCTGGCTGGCTGAGTTGGGTTCTGGCCTGGCTGGCTGGGTTGGGTTCTGGCCTGGCTGGCTGGGTTGGGTTCTGGCCTGGCTGGCTGGGTTGGGTTCTGGCCTGGCTGGCTGGGTTGGGTTCTGGCCTGGCTGGCTGGGTTGGGTTCTGGCCTGGCTGGGTTGGGTTCTGGTCTGGCTGGGTTGGGTTTTGACCTGGCCTGGCTGGGTTGGGTTCTGGCCTGGCCTGGCTGGGTTGGGTTCTGGCTGGGTTGGGTTGGGTTCTGGCCTGGCCTGGCTGGCTGGCTAGCTGGGCTGAGTGCTGGCTGGCTAGCTGGGCTGAGTGCTGGCTGGCTGGCTGGGCTGAGTCCTGGGCTGGCTGGCTAGGCTGAGTCCTGGGCTGGCTGGCTGGGCTGAGTCCTGGGCTGGCTGGCTGGCTGGGCTGAGTCCTGGGCTGGCTGGCTGGCTGGGCTGAGTCCTGGGCTGGCTGGCTGGGCTGAGTCCTGGGCTGGCTGGCTGGGCTGAGTCCTGGCCTGGCTGGCTGGGCTGAGTCCTGGCTGGCTTGCTGGTTTGAATTCTGGCCTGGCTGGCTGATGTTGGCCTGTCAAAGCAATGTACAAATTTGGTTAGGACAGTGCATGGTTCAGGAGTAAGTAATAGAGTTCAGAGGTCAGTAGTATGAAACACAGAGTGAAAGGGTCAGTAGTAAGTAATGCAGATTTCAGGTCAATAGTAAGAAACACAGCGTAAAGAGGGGTAATGAGTAAGTAATGCTGAGTTTTAGAGATGAGTAGTAGGCAGCGCGGAGTGCAGAGGTGAGTAGTAGGCAGTGCAGAGGTGAGTAGTAGACAGCGCAGAGTGCAGAGGTGAGTAGTAGGCAGTGCAGAGGTGAGTAGTAGGCAGCGCAGAGAGCAGGGGTGAGTAGTAGGCAGTGTAGAGGTGAGTAGTAGGCAGCGCAGAGAGCAGAGGTGAGTAGTAGGCAGCGCAGAGAGCAGGTGAGTGAGTAGTAGGCAGTGCAGAGGTGAGTAGTAGGCAGTGCAGAGGTGAGTAGTAGGCAGCGCGGAGTGCAGAGGTGAGTAGTAGGCAGCGCGGAGTGTGCAGAGGTGAGTAGTAGGCAGCGCGGAGTGCAGAGGTGAGTAGTAGGCAGCGCAGAGTGCAGAGGTGAGTAGTAGGCAGTACAGAGGTGAGTAGTAGGCAGCGCAGAGAGCAGGGGTGAGTAGTAGGCAGTGCAGAGGTGAGTAGTAGGCAGTGCAGAGGTGCAGAGTAGTAGGCAGCGCGGAGTGCAGAGGTGAGTAGTGTAGACAGCGCAGAGTGCAGAGGTGAGTAGTAGGCAGGCAGCGCAGAGTGCAGAGGTGAGTAGTAGGCAGCGCAGAGTGCAGAGGTGAGTAGTAGGCAGCGCAGAGTGCAGAGGTGAGTAGTAGGCAGTGCAGTGGTGAGTTGTAGGGCAGTGCAGAGGTGAGTAGTAGGCAGCACAGAGTGCAGAGGTGAGTAGTAGGTAACAAAGAGTAAAAGGTCAGGAGTAAGTACTGCAGAATACCAATCCACCTCTTGCATCCATCCCAGGACCTTGTATATGACATCACATACAAGCACTTAGGATGGACATGAGTGGAGGATCACGTGGCTCAACACAACAGAACAGGGAACAAATGTTACCAGTGCTTCCCTGCAGTACTCTATGTGTGTATATAGGGGGTTAAATCCTGAGGCAGGGAAAGGTTCAGATCCATTCGTGACCAGAACACTGCATCCGTGTACATATACGGTGACCCAGTGTGCAACTGTTGCTTTGGTTGCAATACATTGAGTATCTTATCTGATTTGTATTCTTATGTCGGTTACAATTTTATCGCCGAGTACTAGATCAACATTTATGGCTCCTGAATGTAAAACACTGAAAATGAATGTGCATTTAATATGGACATAAATGTTCTTTCCTACAGGTGGACACGCTCTTCTGAACTCTTCAGAGGGACCATTCATATCGTCTCCAGTTTGTAAAGAGGAAGAAAATAACGTCTTACAAATTTCTCCAGGAGTAAGCCCGGTTCATGAACGTATACATCACAGACCTTACTGCGCAGATACATCGATGGATCTTCCTAATCCTGATGAATCTCCTGAAAGACCACATTCTCTACACCCAAATGTCCATCATAGATTTTGCAGTGTAGATAAATCCCCAGACCCATCCAATCCTGAGGAATCTTCCTCCGATCTTTCAGACACCGGTACAAGAGACAATAATCCATTTCCTTGTTCTCAATGTGAGAAACGTTTCAGTAAGAAGTCACATCTTGCTGTACATCAGAGGACGCATAAACATGAATTTCTGTATTCAGAGGTTGAGAACAGCCCTTCATATAGGTCTCAATTGTATAATCATGAAGGACATCCTGCCTCAGGGTGGCCCTATTCGTGTTCAGAGTGTGGGAAATCCTTAAAAACAAAATGTGAACTCCGTGTCCATCAAAGAACTCACACCGGCGAGGAGATCTTCTCGTGTACAGAGTGTGATAAATCGTTCACGGCAAAGTCACAACTCAAAAAACACCAGAAATATCACACCAGGGAAAAGCCCTTCTCGTGTCCCCAGTGCAAAAAATCATTTATGGAAAAATCGCAGTTTGTGGCACACCAGAGATCTCACAGTGGAGAGAAGCCCTTCTCCTGTAATGAGTGCGGGAAACCATTCGCAACCAAATCACACCTTGTTAAGCACCAGAAAGTTCACACGGTCTAAAACCCTTTCCATGTTCTGAGTGCCCGTTGTCATTCACAACAATATCTGACCTTGTGAAGCACCAGAGAGTTCACACCGGTGAGAAGCCCTTTTCATGTTCCCAGTGTGGAAAATGTTTCTCACAAAAGGGAAACCTCATTACCCATTTGAAACGCCATACCGGTGAAATGCCCTTTTCATGTTCAGAGTGCGGGAAATGTTTCACTTCAAATGGGCGCCTACTTACCCATCAGAGAAGCCACACGGGCGAGCGTCCCTTCTCTTGCCCAGAGTGCGGGAGAAGCTTCACTCAGGAAGTAAACCTTCTAAGACACCAAAGAAGTCACAAAGGCGAGCGTCCTTTTTCCTGCTCTGAGTGTGGGAAATGTTTTACTGAGAAAGGATATCTGATTGTACACCAGAGAAATCACACGGGTGAGCGTCCGTTTGCATGCTCAGAGTGTGGGAAGTGTTTCACGCGAAAGGGATATCTTCTTACACACCAGAGAAGTCACACCAGCGAGCGTCCCTTTTCCTGTTCGTTGTGCGAAAAAAGCTTCACTCAGAAGGTACACCTCCTCACTCACCAGAGGACTCACACAGGCGAGCGCCCCTTTTCCTGTCCAGAGTGCGGAAAATGCTTTGCCGAGAAAAGATACCTTCTTGTACACCAA